CCACCAATTTTTTCTTCCTTATTTATTTGTGTAGTGTTGGGGATATAACTGAGATCCTTCCACATAATAAGCATGTACCTTACCATTCCCAATTCCTAGACTACCAAGTTTTGTGGTAGCTTGTTTGTGCAGCAATAGATAATCAAGTACCCAGGTTCAAAGGCTATCTAAAATCTATCCCTTTCGTGGATGTCCCATGATCCCTCTATTTTCCATTTCACAGCTAGAGGTGAGAAGTTCTTAGTTCCCTGCTGAAGTCCAACAGAAGACAGGCAAGTTCCCGAATGGAAATTTCCATCCCTTTCTGGCCTTACCATGAATAGTAAGTATTCTGCCAACTCAATGTGCTTCGTGGGCAATGGGTATTTAAAGATGAGCCTGGAAATTTAGAATTTCTTCTTTATCATCAAGGATATACAGCTGCTTAATGTAGACACCAAATTTACTGCCTGCAGAGATAAAACTACGTATAAATATTTGGTAACCCAGGTTATGGTTTATTTAGTAGACATGATGTAACTATGAAGGAAACTGGAAAGTCTACTGGAAGGGAAAGTGGAAAGAAAGGAGTCTCTTCACCCTTCTTAGTTTACAGTTCAGCTTTTTTTTTTTTTTTCATTCATGGGTCTTGAATTCTGGACCTGGGCTCTGTCCCTGAGCTTTTCAGCTCAAGGCAAGTACTCTACCACTTGAGCCACAGAGCCACTTTGAGTTTTCTGGTGGTTTATTGGAGATAAGAGTCTCACCGACATTCCTGCCCAGGCTGGCTTTGTACCATGATCCTCAGATCTCAGCCTTCTGAGTAGCTAGGATTACAGGCGTGAGGCACCGGCGCCAAGCTACAGTGCAGCTTTTTGACTAAGTTATTAATAGTGACCATGCCCTTGCTTGCTTTAAAAAGGCATAAGAAGATAACACTAAAAGGCTCCCCTAGTGGCCAACAGTTGATTTTATTCTAGAATCCAGGAGCTCCTCTCTGTGCTTCCCACACTGACCAGCAGAGGGCGGAGCAGACACAAAAGTTGCCCGAGAAGCTCCTTCCATAAAGCTTCCATAAAGCTCCTTCATTAAGAGGCATACTTTGCTGGATGTTTTATGAGAGGCAAGGACTATTTTTGCCTCTAACATAAAATCCACACGGCTCAAGCCTCTTCTTCCTTGATGAGAGCACCTCTTGTCTGACATGCATTATGCATTTGTGAGAGATGGTATTCATGTGTCCCTTCAAATGCTTATAAGCAGGTGCTCCATAGCTGGGGCCAATTAAAGGATGTGGAAGGAGCCATATGAGCAGCACACTCATTCACTGGGCAAAGCCCCAGTAAAGGGCAAACTAGTTCACTGCAAGAGCCAGGCTCTTCCTTTAATCCACTGACTCCATGTCTGGGAATCACTCACAAGGGATGATTCAAAGGGGGGGGGGGGGGGGCGAGGGGAGGGAGAGGAATTCACAACATTTAGCCTGGTTTTAAGTGCAGTGCACTGCCATATGTCTTCCAAAGGAGACACTCACCTGAGGAAGGTCATCAATGGACAGCCTCCAGCTGCCATCCATGTGAGACCAGCCACAGCATTTGCTCCCAGGAAGCATCTGCAGAACTTGAAGAGGCCTTGGAAAAAAGTGTTTCAGCTCAAACCTGAAGGATGAACGAGACTTACTCAGCCAAGAAGTGCAGAGAGATGTGTGCTCCTGAAGAAAGGTTAGTCGTAAGATAGCCTAGGAGTAGAATTCCAGTTCCCTACCTTGAGCATCAAGACGTGTGCTCCCACTGAAACCATCTTTTTGACAAATGGTCCCCAAATGTCCATAAACCTTGAATCTGGAAATGATGGAGCTTGGAAGGCCAAGGTCCTATTGGAAATTCTCTGAATGTTGATGATGATGATGATGATGATGCCAGTTGTAGGGCATGAACTCAGGGCCTGGGTGCTGTCCCTGAACTCTTCTGTTCAAGGCTAGCACTCTACTACTTGAACCACAGCTCCCCTTCTAGGTTCCTTGTGGTTAATTGAAGATAAGAGTCTCATGGACTTTCCTGCCTGGACTGGCTTTGAACCGCAATCATCAGAACTCAGCCTCCAGAGTTGCTAGGATTACAGGTGTCAGCCACCAGCAGCATCTGGCTAATCCTTTGTATTATTACAGTAGACTTGTTTGGTGTTTGTATACTGAACAAGGCCACCTGTACTCTCCTGTATGAGTTGAAAAGGAAAAAGTTTCTCCTTGATTAATAAGTAATACCAAAAATATAATACATCCATGAGTGAAATAATATGGTCAAACTATTTTGTGCCTTCGATATCCACACACTAGGCAAAAATGAATGATAGCAATGTATGAGGTTCTGTAGGTGAATTGCAGTGGGAAGGAAGAGGTTCAAAGGAAAAAGGTAAAAGGTTGCAAATGTGATCAAGGTCTTTTATGTGCAGGTGTGAAGATAGAACCATAAAACTAGTTGAAATTGTTTTGAGTACACTGATACGGTTCAATGATAGAGGAATTTGATTAGGAGACACGGTATATGAAAACATCATAATAAAACTCCCTTGAACAGCCAATAAGTGCTGATAAAAAAAAAAAAAAACAAATGACAAGAAAGATCATTTGTTCCTTTCGTCTTTGGTGTAAGTATGCCAGTCCAGACTGGAGGACAGTCTTCCTGCTTGCGCTTCTGGCCACCTTGATGACTGCTTACCTGTCCATGGGTACCAGCTTCAGTGGGTTCCTTCCATGGGCATTGGAACCACAAATCAGTAGCAGCTCAAAAAACAGAGAGTGTCAGAACATAGGGAGAAGGCAGTAGAATTGTTGGAATACACTCACATAGGTTCTGAGACCTGCCAAAGTTAGAGTCTGTATATTTTAGCACATTTGACCAGATGGCACCTACTTGAACAGTTTGAGTCAGAAGGATCTCAAAGAAAATCTAAATCTGCGCAGTAAAGCCTGGTCACAACAATGATTTCAGGTTCTACTATCAGTTGGGGAATCAGTAAAAGTTCTTTCTTTTGTTTTCACCTGACAGAGCTTCAAGTGGTTGAAGAATATTTAATTAGAATCATCATCATCATCGTTACATGTGAAATTCCATTAGACATTTAGTGCTTAATGAAATCTTTACTACCATTAGGAGAAAGGTCTGACAGTTCTCATTGTAGAGTGAATGGCCCCTATTACATGCGAAATACCACAAGACATTTAAGTTATTAATTAAATCTTTACTATCATTAGGAGAAAGGTTCTACTGTTCTTATTTTAGAGCTAGTGATCCTGAGGCTGGGAGAAAATATAAAACCCATTAGTGAGTAGCAAACTGGGATTCCATCCAGAGTGTGCGAGCTTGTACTGCTCTGTCATTGCCTGCACATGTAGGATGATTAAAGTTGGAGAAGCTCAGGGAAAGATTCATGACATTAAAGAACACATGCTAAAGATGTTTTAGTTGGTGAGAAGATTTGAGGTTAAAAAAATTAATTGTGTTATGTTTGTAGTTGAACTTGACTTCCTTCCAGTCTAGAAGGAGAAAGCTACTGAATTTAAAGGGAAGTGTGTGGAGGAAATGGTGACCTTGCCATGCAGGACTAAGCTCCTGATTGTTCTAGAAATAACACAGTTCTTTAAAGCCCCGTCTGGAGTTGGACCTCAGGGGTTAATCTTGGTTGGCCACCCAGGTAATAGCCAGAAGCCCTTAGGCAGCTTACTTAAAACTCCTTTTGTCTCAATTTCCTGGTCTATAAAACGTGGAACACAACAGTACTTCTTGTTATAGGCATTGAGATAATGCAATTAATTAATCGCATTCAGCACATGGTAAGCTCTCTATAAATGCCAACCGTCATTATTATGGCTCCAGTAGTAACAGAGCAGGTGGGATGGAGTTAGAAGCTATTATGAGTAGTGCCTCCATGAACAAGTACATACAAACATCATCACACTGAGACCTTTTGCCAGTTCTTTGTGTTACACACCCAGGAGTGGTATAACCAGATCATATCTAGTAATATTTTAAAGATTATTATTATTATTGTTTGGCATACTGAGGATTGAATCTAGAGCCTCTCGAAGGATGGTCCATATTTATTACTTAAGTCATGCCTCCAGCCCTTTGTGTCTTTTTTTTAGGACATAAGAGCATCCTAAATTTGCCCAGGATGCCCTTGAACTTGTGACCTTCTGCCTTTGCCTTTTGAGTTAGTGGGGTTATAGGCATGTGCCACCATACTTGGCTTATTTGGGGGGGGGGCTCATGCTGGTATTGTTTTATTTGATTTTTGTTTTTTTTTGTTTTGTTTTGTTTTTGTAATTCTGTACTGTTATCCATATTGGCTAAAACATTTTTCATTTCTGTGTAGTACACAATGAATCCAGTTTCTGTATATTCTCAGCAATACTGGTCAATTTCTACTATTTTTTTCTTTCTTTTTTTTTTTTTTTTGGTCGGTCTTGGGGCTTGAACTCTGGGCCTGAACGCTGACCTTCAGCTCTTCAGCTCAAAGCAAGCACTCTACCGCTTGAGCCATAGCACCACTTCCAGTTTCTATTTTTTCTGATAGAGTCTGTACTGACGAGTATGAAATAACACCTGACTGTGGTTTTTCCTTAATGATTAGGGATATTGAACATCTCTTTTTTTTCTTTTTTATTGTTTTTATAGAGGTGATGTACTGGGGGGGTACACTTTTGTATGGTAAAAAGTATACATATTGTTTTCTTTTTTCTTTTGTAAGTCTTGGAGTTTGAACTCAGGGTCTGAGCACTGTCCTTGAGCTCATTTTGGTCAAGGGTAGCACCCTACCACTTGAGCCACAATGCCACTTCTGGCTTTTTCTGTGATTAACTGGACATAAGAGTCTCGTGGAGCTTCCTGCCCAGGCTTGTTTCAAACTGTGATCCTCAGATCTCAGCCTCCTGAGTAGCTAGGATTACAGGTGTGAACCACCGGTTTCCAGCAAGAGTACATTTCTTTTTGGACAGTGTTACCTCTTTCCTCGCTCTCTCCCTTGAACATCTTTTTATGAGCTTTTTGGTCACTTGTTTTTCTTGTTTTTGGAAGAATGCCTATTCAATTGTATTGCCCATTTTAAAATCAAGGTGTTAGATTTTTGTCACTCAATAGTTGGGGTCATATATATATATATATATATATATATATATATTCTGAATATTAACCCATTACCAGATATATGATGTGCAAACATTTTCTGACAGATTCCTCAGAAAATGGTTTCCAATGGAAGCCAAAGGGGCTGTCTTTCTTCTTGAAGTAGGACATAGCAGAAATCTGTGATCTACTCTCTTCCTTACTTCACTCTCGATTATGGTGTCCTTTTCTGCAGGTATGTGGCAGGGAGCAGGGGAATAGTCCTCAAAGAGTTATGTCCTGTCTCGGTAATATGGCACACCGCTGGTCCATGACACTGTGCAGTACGGGGAGTCTCTCTGTTGTTCTCATCGGGATCATCGTAAAGACTTCTGAACCAGGTCACTATAGAAGGAGTGTGGAGAATTAGCCAAGCGAAGCCGGTATTTGAACAAATAGAAGAAAATAGACTCGGAAGGAGGTTGGCACCCAAGTCTTCCAGCTGGGCAAAGGTGGCCAGCAGGATTCAGACCTCAGAGAAGATGTCAGTGATCAGGGTTAGAATGCCAGTGAGATAGATTCTAACCAGGGGAGGAAGATATTTGAGTCTTCACCCTACCAACAGCCTGATCTTGACTCAGAGGATTCATCATTAGACTTGTAGGTCTGTCTAAATGACACCTCCTTATCCCCTAGAGCGATGGACAGAAAATAGAGCAGATCCATCGGATCACTCTTGTTTCCTTTGAGATTGGCTTTTCAATCAACGAACTGAGGCTTCTGTCTGAAGAATGTGTGAAGGATGCATGAAAAACGTTAAGGTAGATGGAGAAAAGAGGCTCAACTGAAGAGTAACAGTGCTTTCCAAAGAAAGACCCACATATGCAGAAGATGTCTGTGTTGGTAACACCTGTTTTTCCCCATAGAAAAAACAACTTGTTTTCAAGGATAGAACTATGCTCAAGTCATCTGAGTTGACTCTCACCTGCAAAGGGACTGAAACCTAAGACATCCTCAGAAGTTAGACGTCCATTAGAAGTGAAGGAAGTGATATACAAAATGTTGAGAGGGAATGATATGATTTTAACATGACAAAGAATTAAGCTGCTGTTCAGGAACATCAATATTGGTTAGGAAGTGACTTCATCCACGAATGTACTTAGTTGATCTTAAGCTACTGAGAGTCAGGCATATTCCTGGTGCCCAGCTTCACACACTACAGTTTCATCTGTTTCTAGTATGGTAATAAATTGGTGGGAACACAGATCAGGGGTGCTGGCTGGGGGTAATCATAAAAGTTATGACCCTGTCATGGCTGCAATCATGTCAAGCTAAATCTCCACACCATGCTAATGAAGTGCAAACTAGAAATTGTAGCTTCTAAATTGCTTGGAGAACAAGCCTTTTCTGGGGTCTTTTCTGTCACTTTCTGTTAGTGCTAAGTGTTTTCCTCCCTGAAACTTTCTCTTCAAAATTAAATGCTGGGCACAAATCTCGTACTGAGGCGCTCTTCTTCATGTAAACCATAACTTTGGAAACTTTTATACAGACTGGTGATAACTATGCCATGTAGAGAAAATAAAATTTTATTCAAGTACAGTTATCCAGGTGAGAAACAGTGACTCATTTAGTGATATGATCCAGCCGTGAAATTTAATCAAGGATGCCATTATGATTACCTAATTCTGTGATTACTTTCAATATTGTAACCATCAATGATATGTCAGTTATCTTTAGCAACCGCAATCAGACATAAAATAACCTCACTACGTTAGTGACAGATGCAGGGTAATGCATGCGTGTAGAGGGTACGTTGCTGCATGCATTTGCAGTGAAAAGAAGTGCCCAGTTATCGTACTAGATAAATCACATAATGGACAATGGGAATGTTTGTGAACTCTGAAGTAGGTGTGGAGCCGGGAATTTTCACTAGTTCTGTGAATCAAAGGAAGTGCTAAAAGTCTCTTGGGCCCAATGTTGTCAATTCTAAAATGGAAATAATAATAGGTGCCCAGTCAGGTACGTATAGGAATTAAATCAAATAATATAAGCAAATTAGTAAAAGGAGGAGGAGGAGGAAGAAGAGAAAAAAAGAAAGGAATAGGAAGAGGAAGAGAAGGAGGAGGACGAGGAGGTGATGGTGGTAGTACTGAAGGAGGAAGAGGAGGAAGAGGAGGAGGAGGAGGAAAAGAAGGAAGAGAACAGAGAACAAAAGAGTAGCTGGTACATACTATGTGTTATTTATTTACTTATGTATTTATTCTTGGCAGAACGTGGGTTTGAACTCAGAGCCTTATACTTGCTAGGCAGGTACCCTACCACTTGAGTCATACCCAAGACACTTTGTGTTTGTTGTTTTTCAGATAAGATGGCCTCTGATTGCCATCTCCTAAGTAGCTACAATTTCGTGTGGCCTGAG